AGAAGAATAATAATAATAAATAAATTTGTTACTGTTGAGAATCATTGACTCTATAGTAACTTATCATCGTTGTTATATAGTCATCACTCATCAATCGTCGTCAAATTATCGCACTCATATATTACAATCAAATTATCATTGTCATATCATTGTCTTCCGACCATCACAAGCGGTCACCCATCCCACCGCCACTAATCCATCACCACCTTAAACCATCATCACTCGAACCCCATTTTTTCTCGAACTATTATTACATTCGAGACATAATCATTGCCAAGTTAGCATCTCCTGACAGCCACCATCAGATCGTGTTCGTGCCCCCGTAATCAAAATACACTCTCCTCACAATCATTGTGAAACTGATACCACTCATCCAACATCATCAAACCATCGTCTCTTCACCATCTACATTAAATAGTTGTCGAGCCATCATCATTGAACTATCATCACCCAACCATCAGCATCGAATCCCGTATTCATCCGATCACAATTGTTAAATCATCGCAACCCAAACACCACTATCAAATAGTTAGTCCATTACGATTGCCCCAACATCACCTCACTACATTCTCCAAAACATTACCTCCCATTTAGGATTGCTTGTCTTTTGTTGCTCATCTATGACCGATCCATCTTTATTAGACAAGTATATGATTTATCAAAGATTGGTAGATTCATTAATAGTCAAGAGTATTGGACAGAATGTTCGCTACGGGGAATGTGAGCGTTTTTCTTACGGAGTCCGGACGCAAATCTACGTCCAGACTCCAATAATACAACATCAAGTGTACTTCAGCAGATTCTCCTTTTAAAAAATTAAAAATTTATTAGTCGAAATGTTAATAATTTTTTAAATTTTATATGTTTAACTAAATTTTATTGAAGTCCGAACGCATAACTGGATCCGGCGCCGTAAAATTTTGAGGAGGCTTTGACTAGGAGACTTTGACTTGGAAGAGCGACGAATGATTGGATGAATAAAACCGCGTGTAATGCGCACTCCTCGTCTCTCTATATAACGCGTTGCCTTCTAATTAAAAGGTCAAGGTCTCCTTCAACATCCAATCCCCTTTCTCTCTTTCTCTTGTCTCTCTTGCCGCCATGACGGCTGTAGCTCCTGCCGCGAAAGCCGCCGACAGCACGACCAACGGGGACTTAAACTACAAGGTGCGGGAGTAACATATTTGAAATTACTTCTATTGTTTCTTCCATATCTTGTTTAAATCAGCAAATATTCAGCAGAGCATCATATAACTGCTGCCATCCTTATGATCCATTTTAATTAGACTTCTTTATTTTTATTTTTTTTGCATTTTTATATTTATTTTATCTTTCCTTTACTACTATTTTAGGACTTCTTTGAGTATCAATTTTCTTTTATTTTAAATCAAAATATAAAAAAAAAAGAAAATTGCATGAATTTGGATTTTTCTTCTTTCTTTATTTTAAATCAAAATATAAAAAAAAGAAAATTGCATGAATTTGGATTTTTCTTCCCCTTTTAGAAGGACATTTTCTACAATAATTTATATAAATTTTAACTTTTAGGGTCTGTTTAGGGGCAACTGTAGCTTATTGAATAATCTGTTGATAAGCTGATTAAAAATAATTTGCTCATAAGCTAGGTGCGGTGATTATTACAAATTTTTTTTTATAAAAAAAGTCAGATCGTGAAAACGTTGTTTTCTGTATTTTGAAAACGCATAAACTGCTAAAACGCAGTTTACCCAAACAGATCAGGGGCGTTTTCAAAACTCAACCGCACCAAATAAACTGCCCCAAACGGACTCTTAATTTATGCTGCTCGGCCATATTTACTAATAAACCGCACCAAATAAACTGCCTCAAACGGGCTCTTAATTTATGCTGCTCGGCCATATTTACTAATAAAAATTTTAGATATGATCGATATCAATTTGTTTCCATACATAACGACTGCGTGTAATTTTGAGTAATTAATATTAATTATGATTTGGATTATATAATAATAGAACGATTGTATGCCGTATGGCATATTAAAGAAATTGTCATTTTTAATTAGCTGATACCAAGCCCATTACGTACGTTACCACTAAACGCTGGGTATTTCTTAATATTTTTAGTCTTAATCATTAATCAGGATAAGTAAATAAATAATAAAGCCTGATCAAGTCTCCTATTTGATATTTGAAATTTGACTCTGTAAATGAGAGATTATTTTATATATATTTTTTATTAGTTTAATTGGGTGAAATTGCAATTACATAATTGAGTCAGCCAAACGGAAAATTATTACATGGAGTCTTGATGCGGAATGTATCAGGATCCAATGAAATTACGTCACATGTTCTGAAGAGAGGACCATAAATTAAAATATAGAATTATTTTTTATTTAGCGGATCTATTGTGTGACGCGACGCAATTTCATTAGAGTCGTGCATCAGGGCACCTCACTACTTGTTTAGTGCATGATTTAAGATAGCGGATATGGAAGAATTTTAGAAGGAAGAAATTAGAGCCTAATTCTATAATAATTGGATTTACTCTCAACTGAGTACAGTGCATGATTCAAGCTAGCAATGCATGTGGAAGAATTTAAAAAGGAAGAAGAAATTAGAGCCTAATTCTATAGCAAATGGATTTACTCTCAACCGAGTACCATTCAAAAGTAGCTTATTTAGTTATAAATTTACACTCATCTCAAAGTTTAGAAAGTTCATCATAATCAATTATTCATCATTAAGATATTGAACATACATAAATCAATCTTGGTTGCAGTCTGACAGAGAAAAGGCCATTGATGATTGGCTTCCAATCACATCTTCAAGAAATGCAAAATGGTGGTACTCTGCCTTCCACAATGTCACGGCTATGGTTGGAGCTGGAGTCCTCAGCCTGCCTTATGCCATGTCTGAGCTTGGATGGTAACATAATGCCAACTGAATATGCATCTATACATTTATTACCATGATATATACATATATGTATTTATAGACTGAGATTGATGATGATGATGATGATGATGGGTATTGAACAATGTGATGAATAGGGGACCTGGGGTTGCAGTTTTAGTGCTGTCATGGATCATCACACTGTACACACTATGGCAAATGGTTGAGATGCACGAGATGGTGCCCGGAAAAAGATTTGACAGATACCATGAGCTTGGCCAGCATGCATTCGGAGATAGACTCGGGTTATGGATCGTGGTTCCTCAGCAACTGATTGTTGAAGTTGGAGTTTGCATTGTCTACATGGTAACTGGAGGCAAATCTCTCAAAAAATTCCATGACACTGTGTGCCCTGATTGCAAGAGCATCAAGCTCACCTACTTCATCATGATATTCGCCTCGGTTCACTTCGTCCTTTCCCAACTTCCTAACTTCAATTCCATCTCCGGCGTCTCCCTCGCCGCCGCCGTCATGTCCTTGAGGTATTCATTTTTCAACCATGGCTGTTAAAACTTCATGATGAATAAATAAAATTTAATATTTGATTTTGTTACCAGTTACTCCACCATTGCATGGGGAGCTTCCGTAGACAAAGGGAAAGTTGAAGGAGTGGAATATGGCTACAAAGCACACAGCAGTGCAGGCACTGTGTTCAATTTTTTTAGTGCATTGGGAGACGTTGCCTTTGCCTATGCAGGCCACAATGTGGTGCTTGAAATCCAAGCAACCATTCCTTCTACCGCAGAAAAGCCATCTAAGAAACCAATGTGGAAAGGTGTTGTTGTTGCCTATATCATAGTTGCTCTCTGCTACTTCCCTGTAGCTCTAATTGGCTATTGGGCCTTCGGCAACTCGGTCGAGGATAACATACTTATCAGTCTAGAGAAACCTCGCTGGTTGATAGCCATGGCTAATATGTTTGTTGTTGTTCATGTCATCGGAAGTTATCAGGTACATATTACTTCTTCCTTACTTCTTTCTTAACATGAAATATTCTATTTTGTGTTAATCATGTTATGATCTGATGTATTTGGAAGCAGATTTATGCCATGCCTGTATTCGACATGATCGAAACTGTACTGGTGAAGAAACTCTATTTCCCTCCCGGGTTAACTCTTCGTTTGATTGCTCGAAGTGTCTATGTTGGTAAGATACAATTTCACATATAAGCAATACTTGAAGTTTTCTGAAGCTTATGTCTAGCCTATTGGTCATTATACTTGCAGCTTTAACTATGTTTATTGGCATAACCTTCCCTTTCTTCGGCGGTCTTCTTGGATTCTTCGGAGGCTTTGCTTTTGCACCAACAACATATTTTGTAAGCCTGCAAAAACTTACACAATTTATCCTGTTTCCATGTCTTTACATGAAATATAATAGTTTGTAATGTAACTTATGCTACTTTTGTTCTGTAGCTTCCTTGTGTCATGTGGCTTGCTATCTATAAGCCTAGGAAGTTCAGCTTGTCATGGACCACCAATTGGGTAAGTTTAAGAGTTCATTTGGGAATTGGGATGATCAAAATTATTTGTAACAGTTGTAGTAATATTGCAACAATTTTTTTTTTGGTTAGAATAAGCTGAATAACTTCTTTCCCATAGCAACCACAGTTAAAATATTTAGTTGTAAGAAATATATTTTTACATAGAGTTTTTGAAGTTGTTTTTATGCTTCTTTCCTGTTTGTTTTCAAAATCCAAAGCTGATTCAATTCTCATGTTTTGAAATGATTATGTATTTATGCAGATTTGTATTGTGCTGGGAGTTTTGTTGATGATCATCTCACCAATTGGAGGTTTAAGGCAGATCATAATTCAAGCAAAGACATACAAGTTCTATTCTTAAGCAAAATAAGATGAACAGGATCTAAAATTAATGCAAAATAAAGAAAAAAGAATTACAAGTGTTCTGCATTTTTTGTGAAAGTTTTTGCTTGCTTACTTGTGAAATGTCTATCTTAATCAATGAAAGATGTTGGAATGCTTAATTAAGAGAAGGATATATTATTGACTTTTGTTTAAATTGCTATCAATTAAAGCACACTTTTATTAAAATTGTTGATGTTTTATACTTTGGGACATCATTATTTTCTAAATCAAGAATACTCCTAGTTAGGAATGTTATTATGCTTTGAATGGTGGTTAAGAGTTCAGTCGTAATTTTGATGAATAATAAAATATTTTACAGCAACAACAACAACTAAAACAACGAACCTTTATCCCACTAATTGGGGTTGGCTACATGAATTATTTTTAACCATTGCGTCTTATCGTGTCATATTTTCATCTAATTATAATAAATTAATATTTTTTTCTTATATAAGAAGCCCAAGTATTTTTAGGTCTACCTCTGTCTTTTTAACATAAGTCGAATCTAAAACATCTACCCTCCTAACAAGATCATCAGATGGTCGACATTTGATGTGACCCAACTATCTAAGACTACTCTCTCTAATCTTGTTCGTCACCGGAGCTACACCAACCTTATCACGGATGTATAGGTGTCAAGCTACTTATCCACGGAGCTACACCAACCCTATCACGGATGTATAGGTGTCAAGCTACTTATCCACCTAAGCATTTTTATCTCAGTAATACTTAACTTTGTTTTATGCTGCTCTTTTAAAGACTAACATTCTGCGCCATAGAGCATTGCAAGTCTCGCCAACATCTTATAAAATTTTTCTTGCAGTCTAAGCGACACTTTTTTATCACGTAATATGTCCGATGCATTCCTCCACTTCAACCAACCAACTTGAATTCTACTAATAACATCCCCATATATATATCATCATCACTTTACACAATAGATCTGAGATATCTAAACTGTTCACACATTTTAATGATTTGATAATCCAAAGTTACAACTTTGCCACTAGAGCTACTACTACTAAAATTACATATAATATATTTAGTTTTAGATATACTCAAACGAAGGCCAATATAGACCTCCATAATTCAATTTTTTTCTTGAAACATTTCCCTAGTCTTATCCACAAGAAGAATATCATTAGCAAAAAGCATACACCAAGGTACATCCTGCTGTAAATGTCCAGTAAGAGCATCCATAACTGCATCCATAACTAAAGAACTAAAGAAAAAAGATATGGGCTTAAAGTCGATCCCTGATTCAATCCAACTGAAAGAGAAAAATACTTGATCAACACTTCGTCTATTCTAACACAAGTGACAGCTCTAGCATACATATCCTTAATGACTTTATATCAATATTTTTCTTCTCTCGAACTCTTCAAATGACTTCTCTTTGAACCATATAGTAAGTTTTTTATAAATCAATAAAAATCATATGTAGATCCTCTATATTCTCTCTGTATTTCTTCACTCTCTATATTTCTTCATCAAACCTCTCAATAAATGTATAACTTCCATATAGACATGTCCGACATAAATCCATAGACATGCCCGACATAAATCCAAGTTGATTATGAGAAATCTTTATATTACGTCTTAACCTATGTTCAATTATTTCTCCCATAATTTTAAAGTATGACACATCAACTTAATTCCTCTATAATTTGCGCACTCTTTTGCATCCCCTTCATTTTTAAAAATGTGGACCAAAATTACCTTCATACACTCCTCGGGCATCATTTTAGTTTTTAAAATAGTATTAAAGAGTTTAATAAGACAAAAAACTCTCAAATATCCTAAATATTTTCACACTTCAATTGGGATATCATCAGGTCCTACTAATTTTCTATGTTTGATTTTCTTTAAAGCATCATTAACTTTTTTTTTTCCTAAAGTTGATGGTAAAAATAAAATGTTTTATTATAATTAACGATATTGTGATCACTAATGTCAATTGTATTTTCAAAATTTCATCGAAAAGTTCATCAAAATATCCCACCCATCTATGTTAATATCTTCCTTTAAGAGAAGCATTTTTTTTTTAATCTTTAATACACTTTACTTGAATTAAATGTTTACTTTTCTTTTCTTTTTGTTTCTATAGCTTATACATATATTTTTCACTCTTATTAGTATCTAATCTATCAGAAGCAGAATTTTTACCTTCTGGCTAAAAAATTAGCGTGAAAAAAAAAATGTGTTGGATAGTATTAAGGCGGCGATAAACTTTTAATTGACTCGAGATTCTTATATACATATTCTATTTATATAAAGTTATAGAGAGCATCCATTTGATTACCTTCCAATTATCATAAATTAAGATCATTGTTTTCCTTTTAAATTGGAGGCATATCTTCACTAAATCTTAAATGTTAATGCAGAGTGGGGCTGATTATAGTAATTAATTATGATGACACGCATTATTAATGCAATATGGCAATTATTCTCTTATTGTATAACCCACGTCATTAATAATTACTAAATTTATATGACCGTTAGCTCTACCTTATTTTCAAATTTGGTCTCTAGGCTTTTCAAGAGAAGCAATTTAAAACATGGCATATTTCCCTAAACAATTTTCATGTGAACCCTTGTGCATTAACATTTTAAATTCATGATGAACTAAAGCTATAATTGTATGTATAAAATCAATGTAATGCATGATTGTATCGAATGTTTTTTATGTCGAGTTTTGTTCTCATTAACTTCATCCCTCAATTTTGTCTGCATTTTATATGACATTAGAATAGAAAACACAATGATTATTACAAAGTTTAGACATGTGATTTTTTTTGTGCGGATTTTATTTTCTCTGGTACAAACATATGTACGTGGTCATACTGAATATTTTATTGTCAGGTTTTGTTCTTATGAAATTCATCTCTAAATTTTGTTTGCATTTTTCATGTGTTTAGAATTGAGAACGCAATGATTAGTGCAGAATTTATAGATGTAATTTTTTTTGTGCGAATATTTTTCTGTCGAGTTTTGTTCTTATTAAATTCATCCTATTTAATATTTTTTATTCCGTACAACATTAATTTAATTGTTGTACCTTTTAAATTTATAGTCTCATTCTTTTTAGTTCTTAATTGAAAACTCAATGGTTAGGTTGTGGTAATAAATTTAACTTTTTTTTTTTTTTCATTTTTGTCATCCAGACAACCATTTATTACATTGTTGTACATGTATTATTTATGTCTGGATCTTTTATTCTTCGGTCAAACTATGTTGAACATAGTTGAACCGAATGTTTTTTTTTCGAGTCTTTTTCTCATTAACTTCATCACTCAATATCATTTGCATTTTTGAATAGTTTAAAATTGAAAATAAAAAGATTAGTACAAAATTCATGCATGTATTTTTTTGTGTGGATTTTATTTTCTTTAGTACAACCATGTATACGATGTTGTACATGGTAGTACTAAACGCTTTTTCTGTCAAGTTTTGTTCTTATTAAATTCATCTCTCAATTTTGCTTGCATTTGTGATGATTTACGAAGAAGTCGCAATTATTATTTCTTTTTTTTCTATTATGTACAACTTTAATTTAATTGTTGTTCCTACTAAATATGTAACCTCCAATTTATTTTTATTGGTACAACAATGTTGTACATAGTTGTACGTATATTTTTTCCTTATGTTATTTTTTGTTATATATTTACATGAATTTCATGGTCATTTTGTATATTTTCTTAATTGAAAATACAATAATTTAGGTAGAAGCAAATATTTTATTACTTGTCAATTTTTTTTCTTAAGCGCGTCCATGTTGTATATGGTTGTACTTAGTTTTTTTTTTCCTTTGTTTTTTTCTTCTTCTTATTTTATTTGGTACAACAACGTTGTACTTAGTTGCACCATGTCATTTTTTTTTCTGTTGTTGTGTTCTTATATAATTTCTAGTTTATTGTTTAAACAATGTATTTGGAAAATTTCAATAAAATGACCGACTGACGTTCAGATACCTGTTGATTTTATTTATGGGTGTTGAAAATATTGGAATTACGTTCAGGTACCTGTTGATTTTATTTATGGGTGTTGAAAATATTTTGATTTAATATATTTATAATTTTGATTTTGAAAATGTTAATTTTTAATTTTGGAAAATGAGATTGGACAGATCTCGAATATTTGTTTGTTTAAATACTTAAACCCAACATCATAAGTGATATGTCATCTCGAACGATGAGAATATCACTTAATTATGGCCTCAATTATTCAACTAAGAAATGTATGATATTTATTTGGTATGCAAAATTTCCAACGGATTCTTCCCCTACATAATCTAAAGATTAGATAGGGTTTTAGATTATCTCTTTACTAATTAACTCTATAAGTACAAACCCCTATAGTTAATTACATCTAAAACGACCGACATCACTTAAGAAAACTCTCGATTAAGATTGGGCTTTGTCTTTAAGAATTTAATGTTTAATTTTCATGATTTATTGTAAGAATATGAAATGGGAAATGATCAATGTGAAATAGTTATTTATGGAATCCAAAGAAATGAAAAATAGAAGATGTCGAAGATAATGAAGAAACAACAGTGACATCTCAAACTAACCTATGATTTGACTTTACATCTTTGAAAATGAAATCATTTATTATTTCAATTTTGCAATTTATTTAGAAATTTAGGACTTATATTTACATGATATACGATTATGCAAACAGTCTAACAAAATGAGAGGATTTACGTTGCACTGAACAACGATCTCAAGATCCTCAAAAAAGTTAGGGCTTATATCGTACGACATACAATCACGAGAAAGCTTCAAGAATGGATGAGGATTAACATCGTGTTAAACGAACGACCTTGAAGTCCTAGGGGTTTATGTCGTTTAAGACTATGAAAAGTGCAGTTGAGGATCACATTCGCTTCATGTTTTAGTCGTGATTGTCGCTCAAAGATTGACCACTGCTTGATCAAGACGTCGACTCGTTCTGTGAAAAGTGGAGGGAAGAGAGAAGCCATGTCTCAAATGGTCTATCCTAGGTTCTTTGTTGTTGTTTGGTTGTTGTGAAATGATTTTGAATTTTGTTTACTATTGAAGTTATTAAAAGGGGTATTTTATTTTATATTAAGCGGTGTCGATTGAGATTTCATGGTTCAGTCATCCCGACACCACTGTTAGT